ATGGACGTTTTTAATTATATACCCTCTTGTTCCTTTTTGAGATAATAGGACAAAGACAAAAAAAATATTTATGACTATAAAAATAAGCAATAAATCATTTATTCTAGCCTAATGTTGCTGCAAATACTGAAAGATTGGTAACATAATTGAAGGTTGTCATTTCTATTAATAAGACAACTGCCTATCTATAGAATTAGTATACTAAAATAAAAATGTGACAAAATAGCATGTGACAAAGTTTGTTTCATAAGGGGTTCGTTCGTTATACATAATAAGTACCATCTACTTATTGGAAAAAATATTGCAATTATGACAGTAAATGCACTAAGAAGTTTCGATTATAGATTCGAAGTGATTAAGCAAACGAATTAAAAGTTATGTAAAAAAAATGTGAAATTAAATGTAGTAGTAGGTGTTATGAAAGAAATTGTTTTTTTTTTGACATAATATTCAATTTTATGAGTGTGATTATAACACTGCGTTTTGTTCGTCTACTTTCTCCTACTCAAGAATGCCAAATAAAAAGCATCAGAGCAGTGGAAGGTTTGCGTGCCGACGTTGACAACTGTTAGATATCTCGGAGACTGTGACATCAATAATGGTGTCGATTCTGTTGTACCATTCTCAGAACTAGCATAATAATTTTTACTTAATTTTACATAAGATAACAAGTTAACTTATGTTTGTTACATTAACTAACTTAAAGTTTTTTCCAACAGAATTACAACTAGTTTCTAAAGTTTCGGTATGATTTCGTGTGCATTAAAATATGATAAACAATCTCTTTTGCAAAATAACAGGAAAGCGGACGTACGAGTATACACTGAGGGCACTCTAATCTACCAGACTAGATGTATGGGGTAAAATGCTGTGCGACTAAAGTACTTATGTAAAATTGTAAATGCTAGTTCTTTATAGACATTAAAGACTATAGTATTGATTAATGATAGTTTGCATTAAACTTTAAGCGAACTTATTGAGATCCATGAAATTTGAGTATCAAAGTCATAAGCAAAGCCATATATACAATGGACCATTGAAAAAGTCGTGGAATTTTACACACTGACACTTGGGTTCATCAAGCCGATATTTTTTATATACCTAATATACTAGCGATCCGACCCGGCTTCGTACAGGTAATAAACCTTTCTCGAGAAAAATCCCATTCAACAGTGAATGCCGCATCGAAATCCGTCGCGTGATCAATGAGGAGTTAAAAGCTTAAGAAGCATGTGGGCATATTCGGAGAGCCATTTTAATTTAACAAGTAAAACATTCACGTTCTTACTTCGAAGGTTGAGCAGATCTTTATCATCATATATTCGCTTTACAAGTTTTTGTTCCAAAAGTGCGCATGAAAGTCGAGAGAAAATGATATGTAACCATGGAGCCAGTAAATGAGTCAGATAGAGGAGGACGATGTCGTACTGCACGGAATTTAAAAAAATATTTCGTATTAAATACAATGAAATAGATTATTTTAAAAAGCTTACCTCCAATTCTTTTTGGTGCTTCGTCCCAGAAGTGAGGCGTTAAGAAAATACTTATAGTCCGGTATTGCCCTTAGAGCCTATTTCCACTCCCATTAGTTAAATTTCTTACAACTACAGACTGAAGTATCACAATAAGAAATTAGTATTGAAATTATTTTTTTATGATATTTGGATAAAGTGCCGGTCACAAGTGTATGAAAGTAATTCTTTATCTTAATGCCATAAATATTACATATATACATATGAGTATCATATCGACAATAACATTCAATTGGATCTGCGTATTTGCTAAAGTTACATGAACAGTGGAGTCTAATAGTTGATCAGAAGCGGAATGGAGGGGTTCAGGTTTCGCGACCTTCGTTTCTCGACTCGATTACCAGAGACGCCAGTGACGTCAGGTGCGCAAGCGCCTGATTCGACTAGGTAAGCACTTGCGGTTTTATAACATGAACACACAAGGAAGCATTCACAAATCTATTTCTGTGTAAACATCAATCGGGTAACAGAATATTTCAGTAAGTTCTATCCAGACAGAGAAGTATCATTTTTGGTGATAAAGCCGCCAATCGTACGTCTCCTGCTTTCGTTATATAGGTGCATTTTGTTCTATCTATCTATCTATATTGCCATGTACACGTTGTAGATCATACGTATTAATGATAGAATAGATTAGACATAAAAAGAGAGAGCGCATGGTTTGTCACCTCCCTGATTAGGCAGTAGTTCGGGTGCTTTAGGCGTGAATCACCGATCGGCATACCGCTGTGCGCAAGCACCGTACGTGTCAACTACCTATTTATGTCGCAGGACGAGGCGCAAATAAAACAGCTTCAAAGGGACACCAACGTCGGATGCCACGCAATCGCCGCCTTCGAGCCACAAGTTAGAACGAACGCAACGAAAACAACTGCCATTGTCTACGGATGAGTTATTTTTGCAAATAGAATCGGGATCGGTACATTTCAGCATTAGATGGAGGTCCGGGACTGTGTGATCGTGTCCGTGTACTGCGATCGATACGCAAAAGCAGTATATTTGACTTTTGTGTGGCAAATAATTTCCTATGATAAATTTTAAAAAAGCCTATCGATACGTTATTGTTTTCATATTCAGAGTAGCACAGTTTTAAACGTGTAAGGTTACGATGCGGGCTTATACAAAATTTTAGTAAATAAAAAAAAAAACTCAAATGTTAATGACGAGTGATAGCTATCAAAGCAAATATCACAATTATCAGAGTAAATTATACTTTAAAAATAACTGTTTTTGTGCTTAAAGCTACTTAATTTGAGACATGAGCAATGTAGGATAGGATGTATGTAATATTAAAAAAAACTAGAATATTAAAAGTCCAAATACAGATTAAAGTTTTGCTTCAATACATAAATATATAATAAAATCAAAGACTACCGGCACTTGGCGTGTTCGACCACGCACAGTGTTGGGTTCCGTAGATGGTTATTTCATATTGTACAATACATCTGTTTATAGACGAAAAAACCCATGTGTGTTGAATGGTGTTCTTGTTGTTGTTGTCTTATCTTGTTTCATACATTAAAATGAAACGGATATCTTTACATCGCCGCACAACACAACATGAAAATGCGTCTTTTGTCGCGCCACCACACGACACAGTATGCCTTTTACTACACAATATAGGTACACGAGAAAAAAAAACCGCTACTAATAAGAAAAGGCACACATCTTAAACAAACATTTTATGTTAGTAACCTGTAGCTTTAGTCACAAATTACAGTCTTCAATAGTCCCTAAGAAAAATATTGATCAGAACAGGTACGAAGAAACTAGAGGGTTTTCTTACTAACCGTGTAACTCTAAAAAAATAAATGATCAGTGAGTTATACCTATGATAGATTTTCAGTTCCATCATCAACAAAAATAAATACTTAAAAAAAAAGAAAAGCAATTTACTGCTGGAAAAGAAAGTGTTTCATTTCCTTAAATAGTGTAATGTCTCAAAATATGTTGGATTTTGACTGATAAATTTGACAATAATTAACCAAGACTATTTAAAAAAAAAAAAACAATTGTCTGTAATGATCAAAACTCACATAAGGACAATTCAATGATAAATTCTAGTATTCTCAGTTAATTTATTATTTTATTTCCATAAATAAAACAAAGGTTATCTATCATATCTTACAAGACATGTATGATTAATTTTATGTCACATTTAAATACCTATTCAACATTCATTCATTAAAATGATTTATGTAAATATAATAAAAGTACTTATGATTTTGATAAAAAAATATATATTTGATATTAAAAGTTTTATTTGAAAAAATAATGAATGAAATATTCTTTTATCGAAAGTCATTAAACTTATTTTGTGAAGAAACGAAACATAGTCCATGGTTATTGTGAAGAAAGAATAAAGGTCAATTTGAATGGAACCCACTCATGAAAAACATATCAGTTTTTAATACCTATGTTTTTATTAGAAATAATGAATCAAAATAGTTAAACTATATAAAAAAAAGAAAGCAGTTTTTAATCAGTCACTAACAGTAACAATGCTGATAATTGACTACAAGTATTAATTACTAAAATATTATATCAATTTTTATTATAAGAAACGGACGAGGAATATGATTTCTAAAAAAGTGGTCACATCTAGACCGACCCCGTTATCCGTTTGGTAAGGTGCAATTTGGTAGCTGGACATTTTAAGAGATGGGTAAAAATTAAATAATCATAAAAATACATGTATAAAGCAAAGCCACTTCCCGTTGTTTGCACGTTGACATCTTATTAACAACACTACAGATTTTAATATGGTTTTCATCGACTCGTACAGAGTGATTCGATAGGTTTATTGTATAATACAGGATCACTCAGACTAAGAAGCTGGGAAAGCTAGTAATAAAATAAATATTAAATTTGATCAATTATGCATTCACAATGCTATACTGAACAATATTCTTAATGAAATATGCTTAAAAAATCTACTTTATCAACGTCATGAGGAAACGGGTTGAGTCCGATCTCAAAGTGTCATGGACAAAGTGGACTCTTTAAGCTCTTTTCATTAAGAATTGATTGAGATAATTTATAATAATTGTTATTTGAGTATGAGTGTTAATGCTTGTAATAAATGGAATTAATTAATTAATTAATTAAAAAATTAATGATATGCAATGAAATTTAGTCTTAAGTATAACAATATTTAATAGTATGCAGCCGACAAATAGAATGTAGTCAATAAATGTTATTAAAAAAATTACCCCAAAATAGGATTAATAAGTATTTTTCTATAAGATAACTAGCATTCTATTATAATAAATTTTTCAACATATTAATGTGATTGAGATTTTATAATATATATATATATGTATATTTAAATAAGTATATTATTGTTATATTAAATAATAATATTTTTTGTTTATTAGCAATGTACTACCTAATTAAGTAAATTACTGGAACAAAAAATGCCTTTGTTTTGAAATTAAAAATGGATATAGATAATATTTTTATTTTGGTTCATCTACCAATAATAAAGAAACTTAATTGTCATGATAAAAAGTACAATATTGATATTATATTCAAATGAGAATAAATTGAATAAGTATAAAGCTCATACCTTTCATCTTCCTGAGGTGGAGCCGGCAGCTGTTCCTCCTTCCCATCTGCAGCATCTCCAACCTGCATATTGTCAGCAGGCACCTCCGCAGCACCACTGTCACACGCACTCACATTCACATTGCTCATCACCGCGCCACTGATTGCATGAGACACCACCGCACTCACTGGGCTACCGAAGCCCTGATTGTCATGTCCAGGTTGGGCGTTAGTCACATACGCCGTTGAACTAACCGGTAGTGAAACTACTGGTGAGTTAGTCCCAGATACCGTGGCCTCCACTGGTGCCACACTGCTCTGCGACATTACAGGAACAACCCCACCGTAACCGAGGCCCATACTCGTCTGTGACTGCACCACGTTAGCATGGACACCGCTGCCCATACCCACTGGCATACTCTGCTGCATCGACATAGGAATGTTCTGATGCGCCATCGAAACTTGCGGCAACGGCTGATTGGGCACGTACTGCACGCCACCCATCTGCCCCTGGCCGCTCACTTGCTGCGGTAACATATTCTGCTGCGCCATATGCTGCCCAACAGGTATCTGCTGTCCGACGTTAGCTGGCTGCATGAATATCGGATCTGAGGCGGGTATCTGCATGCTAGGCTGATTCCCGTCTAGAGTCATCTGCATATTCTGGGGAGCCGTTGTCATCATCTGCATATTGCCTTGTGGCACATTTCCTTGCTGCGGGGCCATAGGGTGCACCGATGAAGGTTGTTGTTGATTCAGACTTTGGAGATTCGCTGGCAGAGTAGTGCCTTGTGGTTGGGACACCATAGGCTGGAGATTAGTTGGCAAAGTTGCACCTTGCTGTGATGTAACAATACTTGTAAGCACCTCTTGTGGTAAAGTTTGCCCTTGCTGACTCATTTGGGGCTGCTGTGTATGAAACTGAGGAACATTATGTTGTGGTTGTACCATTGTTTGCTGTGATGATGGAATATTTGCACTCATCATGGTCTGAGGATTAGATTGTTGATTGACAGCTTGATTATATTGAGGTTGCACTGTAGGCATGCCTTGTTGGGGCATCTGAGGGTGCATTCCAGGAACGACTGATTGTTGAGGCTGTGTTTGCATCTGATGTATTTGAGGCTGCATTTGTGGTAACTGTTGATTTGCTCCAGTTAACTGGGTAGGCATTTGCATTTGCTGTATATGGTTTGGCATTTGTTGGTTCTGAAGAGCTTGCATTTGTTGTAATTGGGCTTGCTGAGATCCGATGGATTGTTGTCCTTGCAAATGATGACTTTGCCCTATATTGGGAATCTGAGCTTGTTGCAAATGCATTTGTTGAGGATTTGCCTGTGCTTGCATTTGCTGCAGTTGCATTTGTTGCATCTGGGGCTGTTGACTAGCTACTTGAGATAGTTGGCCCTGGTTTTGCATCGCTTGCATTTGAGGCATCTGCTGCTGCATTTGGATATTAGTCATCTGAGTTTGGGGAATATGTTGATTGATCTGTTGCATTTGTTGGTTAGGTATTTGTTGCATTTGTTGTGGCATCTGTTGATGCATTGGTATTTGTTGCATGGCAATACCTTGAGACTGAGCAATCACTTGTTGTAACTGATGTTGGGGAAAGCTTTGTGGAATTTGTTGCACTTGTTGTTGTTGAGGTGCTTGCGGATGAGGTTGGGGTGCATTTTGCATAGTAATATGAGTCATACTTTGTGGATGTTGTTGGCCCACTTGCTGAGTAGGTTGCATGTTTTGATTTGGCATCTGTTGTGGCATTTCTAATGGAGGTGATTGTACAGAAACAGACTGAGGTACTGACATCTGTTGCACAACATTTATGGGCTGAGTCAGAGACTGGCCCGGGGAAGCCATGGGAAATTGTTTCTGGACATTTTGTTCTAATTGCTGGACTGGTGGAGGGTTACCTTGTAGATCCTTGGGCCCTTTATTTGTCAGATCATCTTCATGTTGACTATCATTTATTACAACACCACTGTCAGGGGCTTGTAGATTTGTATCTGTTATATCCAAATTGTTATTTAAGGTTATTGGTGCATTTTGTTGAGTAGAAGTGTGATCTAAGTAGTCCATACACATCCATCGGCCTCTACGAAATGGCTCAGTGCTCTCAATTTTTACAACTTTAAACCTTTCATTCCTAACATGTTCCTGTATTTCTTTCATACCTTCCTGGGGTTTAGCATGTCCTATAAGATTGATAATGCTACCCGTCCCAGCGTTTGTGACACTCACATGCATGTCACTTACTTCTGTATTATTACTATTTGGCACTGCTCCTCCTATTTGGTTGGTGGTGTTGTCCTGGCCGACAATCGCAAGTCCGTACTGCGAGCTGGTCGGGATAACAGGGGCACAACCTAATGATGCACTCGAGGCGTTGTAAAATACATCATCTTTCGAGAAGGTGTCTTCAGAATAACTAGGAGTTTCATTCTCGATATCGGTTACTCGTGAGATGTCGTCGGTGTGAGATTCATCTAGATCGTCGGCCGAATCCTCTCCAGCATCAGTGCTCACTCGAGAACCAACCGTCACACTGGTGATCTGAAACGAAGATATTTTCCGTGGGTTATGGGCGGCTTGAAGACTCGTCGGGTGAGTCACTCCCTTCTCCGACTCGTTCAGACGAAGAGATTCGCTTGTCGTGCGGTGAACAACGTTGTTATACTTGTTTTTCTCACTAGTTTTATGTGACTTTTGTATAAGATTGTCAGCCATTATGCCGTCCAAATCAGAGTGACTATCTAAAGAAAATTTCACAGTTTATTAGCTTCAGAGGCATTTGATAGACTTTTCAAACACAGCAATATATAAAATATAAAACCATTGTACACTCACAATTTCACAAACACGGTAATTTAACTATAAAGTCTTAAAAGTCATTAGTAAACACACACAGTTGCGAACATCCTTCAGACGGCAGCAACATGGCGGCCATTTATGCGCAATGCATTATGGTTGACAATCCGTAATAGACCAGAAGAAAGTCTACATTATAGTTACATCTGTGATCGCTAGATGGTACTAGTTATTTTGGTTTGGTTTTGTCTCAGAATAATAGTTGTGTAGAGAGTAGCGAAGTTTGAACAGAAGATTTAATAGAATAGGAAATTGTAATTTAGATACCAAAACTTAAATATGTATTGGTAATAAAAAATCAGAAAAAATATTCTTGAGAAACTTATTTACTTACACAAATATCCTGTTAAAGTTAAAAAGACCTTTAAAATAAGTCGTCTATAAAATTGCATTAAAGTTTATTAAAGAGAAATAATTCAGTAAAATAAAAAGCTTTTTAGAGAAAGAGCTGTGCGCTGCCTGTGATGAACGTATGTTGTCTATGGCACATAGGCAAGGGATGCTGCCATTGCAAAATTCTGGGAGATAAAGATTTTGTTTAAAAAGATATTTTGATGTGACACTAAATATTTTAAATATCCTTTACTGATTTCAAAGAGGTATCAAAGTAATTAAATAATGGCCAAAATGAGTGTCTATAAGAAAAATAAGAGTTTTACAACAGACTTTAGAGGAAATAGTGTATGTTAATATAAAAAATATAAAATAATCGAAAAGCTTTTTTGTAATACTTAATTAGTTAAGAAATAATTACAATAAATATCAAAAATTCTAAATTAATTTACAGCTACTCCTCAATAGATGGCGCTGCTAAGAAGCTTATTTCAATCAGATAAAAGTTTTATTAATGTTTCTAGATGTCGCTTTTGACGGGCAGTTAAGGAGTTTTAATTTTAGCTTCGAGAACAAGCCCGATGTCAACAGTATCAAAATACTACATACATAAGTATATATATATATTAATGAAATTATAACGAAATTTAATTATTATATAGAATATGGGTTTATTTGGATACCTAAATAAATTCATAATAATATTTACCTACCACGGTTTGTAGTTGGTCAACTTTTCTCGGATTCGATTCTAAGTCGCATCAATTTATGAAATTAATTAATTAAAACAGCTTTCAGAAAACGACATATAATTCTTATACTGGTACTGTAAACAAATTCAAAGAAGCCTTTCCTTTAAGTTCGGGTGAGTAGGTGTAGGTAGTCCTTATTCCATGAAATTATTTTTAATAAATTTTTGTTTAAAAAAAAATAGTATTTAGTCAATGTCTGAACCTACTACAGGTTTACAAAAAAAAAAAATAGGTACTGAGCGAATCATATATTTTTTTAGGGGAAATGGGAACCCCTGGGAATTAATAAGATATTATACATAGAAAAAAATTATAAAGTGACTATGGTTCCTAATTTAAGAATAAAGAGATTGTTATCAAATAATTATTAAAATAATATAAGTAAATCTAGCTGATTATTACTTAACATATTATTAATTAATTTAAGAAGTTCTATATTTTAGCTGACACATAATATAAAGTTTAATTATTAGATATTAGTAGTAAATATAAAAATAAACGAAATGTTTTGAAGAAGCTCATGACTTAAAGTAATAAAAAAATATGTATACTTACAAATCAAAAATGTGAGTAAGACATTTGGCGCTATTTCGCGATTCGACGCTCCATCAGCAACTAAGACGCAAATCCAGTAGCACCCCGAGCCAGTGATTACCCGCAAGGTCTCCAGATTACCAGTCGATTTAACCAACATCCCCACCAATGCCGTGACACTTCTTAAACGAAGGTAATTTGCTATTATTTGTAAATTGGTGTCCTCTCGTCCGCTACGATTCGCTCGCTGCTCAATCAGTTGCTCCGGAGCACGGGACCCTGCAAGGTTCTCCCGGTGACTCCGAGCAAGCAGCCGACAGATCGTTTGATTTCTCGAGCCTAAGCAAACACTTGCCGCATCGCACTCGGGCTTTCCTCCCGACAGCCAGTCGATAAGATATTGCTCGCGGAGCAACACCATTTTAATGTTCACTATGAAAATGTGAGTGCACGCATTAAAAATGGCAAAGACACAGGAGGTTTCGAAAAAAACCAGCGACGACGACAGCTCCATGGAGGGCGAGGAGGCGCAGCACAACTGTCTCGGCAGACTGATGCTCTGTTTGCGTATCAATCCGAACCTTATTATGTTGAAAGTGACACTTTTTGTGATGTACGGTGCTACAGCTTCCCTGTTGCCGTATCTGACAATACATATGCAAAGCATAGGATTGACTGTGCGTGAGATATCTTTCGTATATTTAGCTTTGCCTTTTACGACTTTTTTAAGCCCTCCCATAACTGGTAAGTAGTGTAAGACGGTGATACCGATCAGAGAAACGAGACGTGTGTGTGTGATTCAGTTTAATTGTATTTTAGGGTTTTTGGTGGACCGTTTTGGGGAGTACAAACCGGTGGTGATTACGGCACTGATACTGAACGCTGCCTTCCATCACTCGCTACTGTTGATACCGCACCAGGAGACGCCGGGAGTGATGCCGTCGGCCTACGTGATGCGGCATCCTATCACGAACAGTGTCGAGGTATGAAACATTAATAGATTCGTTTCGAAACAATGGTACCTATCGGAACGTCCCTCGTTCAACTCAGACTACTCTTAGAATTTGAGCAAATCGCCGTCATCCGGCCACAAGGCGAATTAACCGGTGTTATAACGTAAATCCGTTTGTTTGGATTAGTTAAGAGAATTAAGAATGACTTAGGTATGCGCATTTACAATCTCGCATCTGATGCTACTCTTTCAGATATGTTTTATTTAAATAACGAATAATGAACACTTAATAAAAGATTTTGACAACTGAATTAACTTTGTAGATATGGTGGAGTCCGTGTCCTAGTAGAGAATGTCCTGATGAAGATGAAACTGTGGATTTTGTTTTGGATCGATGCGTGGACCACTGTAAACTATCAAGACCGACAGAGAGTCCCGTCACAGAAGCCGACGACGACGAGAAAGACGATTTGGATTTCCACATCAGTCATAAAATACAACAACAGTAAATATTCCTATTGTTCGAAAAAGTTGTGTGTCTCGTAAATATTTGTTTAGATTTATGTGAGGAATCAGTAGCTAGTTGTGTTGTATTCATATGTTATCTCAATTGAGGTAATAAAAGTACTCGGCGTAATATTTCTACTTTTACTAACAATATTTATTTATATATGAATAATAATGATAAGTATGTTTGTAAATAATTATTCAATGATTTTCGTACTTAAATTATTGTTGTTTAAATCGGTCTTGATGTAATAAAATTTTTTATTCACCAGTTTTAAATACTTAAAGATCCTATTACAACTCAATTTTGGCGTTCTTAATCTCGAAATCAGATATAATACTTATTTTGACCGATTGAATAGTGCAAAATAACTAGTTTGTAGCGGTTGCGCAATTTTGAAATATCATTGATTAAATATAGAAAAAAATCTTATTATTATTATCCAGATAACTTCGAAAATAGCTATAAGTTAACTGTTTTTCCTATCTAAAATAATATTATTAAACAAAATTTTGTACCGGAACAATTATTACTTCATAAGAAATAAATATTTCATAATTTCTAAGCGAAAATTTATGATCCTATTCGATAAAAACGATAATTATAACTGCAAAATTAGTACAAAATGTGATGTATCGGCCGTCCTGGCTCTATTTGTATGACCGCGTAGCGAGTTTGTTTGTATTGGTATTAGGGCTCTAAAATAATGATATTTTTATTTTGTAGTTTCCTTAATGTAACCGAGGATGACGAAGAGGACTTCAATGACGCAGCATTCTTTCTCATTGAAGTTCATGATGATTTAGGAGAACCTAAGGAACAACTCGGCATTGAAATGGAACGAGTAAGTACCGTGGCAAAAGAAATTATGTTTTTTTATTTATTTGTTGCTTTTAAAATAAATACATATACATTTTCAGGATGAAGATGACCCCGTTACAGATTTTCGATCCAGATTTGGCGAAAAATTATTGATAGCACAAGGTGTAAACATAACAGCACTTGACAAAGAAGACTTAAGATGCGGTGGCCTCGTCATGCTGCATAATATGACGAAGCTTTCACAACAACGCCTAGAAATATTATCAGCTGACTGCATGGTACAGAAATGTGATTTCAGGTATCTGATTTTCCCGTATTGAATCATATATGTGTACGACGTAATATTATTAACATTGCCGATCAATATTACTATCTAGTTTACTGTAACGATTGATATCGGTAAGTAAATTATGAATGGAATATTACAGGAGAGGCGGGCCCGACATATGTCCGCCGGATTATAAGGAAAGTGACGATAAGACATTCTACATTTACTTTTTCCTGCGATTCATGGGCACTGTCATGTTATCTGCCGGGGTTACTATCATGGATCCGATTGCGTTGACAATGATACAAAAATACGGCGGTGACTTCGGTAGGGAGAGATTATTTTCAAGTATTGGAATGGCTATATTTTCACCCATTACCGGAATGCTCATAGATATGCAAAGCAAACAAGCCGGTGAGTACAATCGGGTAATAAAATATTTGGGCACGCAGTGACTGCTATCTTTGTTTTGTTTATTATTTTTAATGCATTCCGTTTGTTTGATTGCAGGTCACACAGACTATTCAGCTGCATTTTACACGTACGATGTCTTACTTTTAATATCAGCGATAACAGTAGCAGTGATGCCGCTCGGAGCTAAGTTGCCAGCCGATAATTTACTAAGAGATTTAGTTAATATCATCAAGATGCCTCATATAATAATATTTATATTCTTTCTATTCGCTTTGGGCAACTTTTGGGGATTCATTGAATCTTATTTATTTATCTATTTGAAAGAATTGGGAGCACCAAACTTTTTACTCGGTAAGTTATTCTTAAGAGTTTGTTTTGATAAAACTTGAACAGTTGCAAAAATATAAAGTTGCTGTCTATCATTAAGTTAGATGATTACTCTAGTTCTTGTCGGGAACGATTTTACTTAGTAGTTTGCTCAAGTGATAGCTTCTGTGATGGTCAGCGTGTCATCATTTCAGTGATATCCCGCTACTTCCCACGGGTGTTTACTTCCGCGAGCAGTATTTATAATGCTTGTATTACGTATCTTACGTATCTGAGCAGGAATAACCGTGACCGTGGGCACACTAAGCAGCATCCCTTTCCTGTACGGCGCGGACGCCATCACTGCCCGTATCGGCCACGTCAACGTCATCATTGTGGCATTCTTCTCCCACGCCGCCAGGCTCGTTGGCTATTCCTTTATCGAGTAAGTTTTTGTAATACTTAATACTTTTTACAATATACTGATATTTAACTTTAAGAAAATCTCTTCAAAAATCAAACATTCCAAACTTGAAAACGGGTTCGAACTTTTGCTAAGATGGTGACTGCTTTAACAATTGAGTTCTAATTGTGATATTTGATAATTTTTTAAGTAAATAGAAATAGAATAGTTATCAAATAATAATATATCAAATAGTTGAATAACTATTCTCTTCCAATTTGCATATACTATTATACTGTAACTGCAACTTTTTATTTTTTTAATTTTCAATTTGCATCTGCATTGACCTTATTAGTAATCTACATACCTTTACCCTCACGTATATTTAATTTTAATTCCTTTTCCGTAATATTCGCAACTTCGCAGCAATGAATCCACCGTTGAGCTAGAATTATCAACTGATACACTATCAACAAGTCTAGTATTTGTTCGTCGTAATAAATGGCACCTATGTTAGTATCACTTTGGATCGAGATAACTTGAACCGTGACAATGACATGTTTAATGTCTACTATTATGTATACGTTAGATCAAACCGGCTACGCTTCATTGTGGTTAAATTTAATATTTCCGTGGATAGTTTACCAAATCGTACGCTTCATTTTACCTATACTCAATCTATTTTGGACTCAAACTACAAAAAAGGCGGAAAAAACAGAAATATTTTTTTATATACGATATATTATCATCGTTTGCCGTATCATTTTGATTAAAGTAGATGGTAGTTTAAAATTCACCTTTTTCCAGAAGCCAAAATTATATTTATATTATTTATATAGATATCTACTAACAATTTGAAATTGATTAATGTATGTTTCCACAATATTTTTAATGAAAAATCCTTAAAAATCTACTTTGTCCCTGGTATCCTGATATGAAATGAAATGATCTTCATTCAAGTAAGAAAAGTGCTTGCTACAAGCACTTCTGAATCGTCCAAATAAATTTGATTCCCACTACCACTCGTTCAGGACGTCTTTTAGCTGAACAAGAAGAACAAGCGAAAGAACCAGCTTTTTTGTCATAAGTGACATTTACATAAATCATGTCATTACCAAAATAGTCGATGGGATTCAAACTCACGGCCTTTCGCAATCCGGGGCGACTACTATAAACACTGAGCTACTCAGAACTCACAGGACTGACGAATTTTTCATACACTTGTTATTTACCTTTTTTCAGCCTGAAGGGCTAAAAAGGTACCCCTTGCATACCCTTAAACTTTCTGAATCATATCAACCATAAAATTAAAATTTTAGACCTTCACAGGGTCTAAAATTTTACGATTCACATGACATTTATAGCTTATTTAATTTCCTACGACACTATATTTGAATGAATGAAATAGCTTGAAAAGATTTTGAAAAATATCGTTCGAAAATTAAGGAGCGCCCAAATTTTGAAATTATTAAGCATTTATTTATTCATATACGCTCTATACGATTCTATTCACAATATGTGTATCTCCATATGTATATCTTCATAATTTATCACTTCAAATTAATTATGACAGTTTCATTATTATTAATAAAACTATTTCTAATTGAATATCTTTGTTTGCTACATGAAATGTATACTTTTATTAATGAAAATTGTCCCTGTCACTTTGAGATGGGGACACAAACCCACGACCCTTCGCAATCCAGGCAGGGGGTGCCTCAAAAACTGAGCTATACAGGCCCCCAACAGGACCGTCGAAATTTTCAAGCACCTACCGCTTTTTCGCTACCACAGAGCGTCATCATCAGCCCTTTTACGTCCCCATTGCAGGGGCTCAGGTCTTCCTTATGGATGGTTAAGGAGGATGGGACGTGACCCTCCACGCTGGCTCAATGTGAATTGGAGGAGGGACCACAGAGCGTATTTTCATCAATTTAAGACAATCCACCCAAACAAGGGACAAAATGGATTAAGAATTCGTATAAAAACTTAAGACAAATTGGATTAGTTATTAAGAATATTTTTCAGTATGGCATTGTGAATACAATATTGATAAAATATAATAACGTTTGCTTTCATTATTTGGCTATTTTGCTGCAAAGAAATAATCAATCAAGAAATTCCTGAATCAATGTTAAGTAACCAATATTTGTTAATTTCATAAAAATCGATGTCATTTTTGAAAGTTCATTTTACACTTTTGAAATTATTCCACCATTTCAAGCTTTGTAAAGATTTTTTTATAGATTTTATTTTAGGTTGGGTAAACAAAAATAAATTATCAAATTGCGTATACTTTAAAAATATATTTTTTCTTATTTAGACAAGAAATCTAAAGTTTCATGATTTTTCATTGTTTTTATTAATTTTCTTATGCAGGGTAGTTGTTAAATAGTGAAATATCAAAATACTAGCTCTATTATATAAATAATACATATTTAACATTATTTAAACATAATTATAGCCTTTACACTGGTTCAATATATTAATTATAATTTGTTAAGTTAAGGGGAGCTTAATTCCAAAACAGAAATCGTAGGTAAGGCCAGTGCCGTAACTATACCGTCGGATGCCCGTGGCAAAGTCATCGGATATTCAATTTTTTTTTATTAATTGCGTAATATTAAATGTCAGGAGTAAGTAGTCTCCTCTGACCGGGGGCCCCTTCTAGCCCGTGGCATTTTGCCGACTTGCCACCCTGTGTTACGCCACTGGGTAAGGCACTCTTTTTACGTTCAGTGACTGGATTATTTGAATTCAAATAGAATTTGCTGGGCACACTTTAACACCCATGTCAAATAAATTTTCTTTGAATTTGTTACCCACCTTGTAGTTATTTAAGAAGGACCTTACAGTTTTATTTTTTTAACCGACTTCAAAAAAGGGAGAAGGTTATCAATTCGACTGTATTTTTGTTAGACAGAATTGTCAGAGGCTCCGTTCAATCCAACGTGTCATTTTTAAACGACTGTTAAGCATCATTGTACTCTCGTTACTATCTCACATTACGCAACGTAAACCATTGTGTCCTTATACATTTAAACACCATTTGCGGAATTAATGTGGATACCGCATTGTCAAGTTTATGAGCTCAATGATACGTGTGGGTGGATGTATCACATCCACAGACCTGGAGACCACTACACTGCCCAGGGTTGCTAAACAAATATACTTTATCTACTTCTATAAATGTTGATTTCAATATTATCATGGTGTTAATTCAATCTGCTAGTTAACGAACACTAGAGATGATACGGGGATTTGTAGAGCATGTTACAGATCGAATCTCTTGAAGTATTTTCCAGTTAAAATATTTAGAATGTTTGCCAAAGTATATGTGCACTGTAAATTAATATCGAATGAAACATCGCAAAGTGATAAAGTAGAACTATAACTGATAAAACATTTGTAGGTTTCCATCAGATGTTATTGATTATGTTTTCAAAGTTTTTTCTATTAGAACTGAACAAATTCCAAACTAACTAATATATTACGTTACCGAGATTATTTTTGTGTTACCTTCGTTGTTTCTGATATTCTATAATATTCTATAATATTATTACATTTCTCAGATTTCAAGATGAGTAGCATATGCTACTCATCTTGAAATCTGAGTAATGTATACTTTTGTCTGATATTTATTTATTTATAGTTGTAATCCTACTTAACTTATTACTTATTTTATAAGTATTTTTTTGTTCCCTTGAAACAAAATATATGGGTATCTAATTAAAAATAGCTCATGAATAGAATTTCTTTTTTTTATTACTAAGGCATTACCTACCCCTTTTTATATGCTGGAGAACTAGAAGAGTGCACTAAGTTGTAGACAATGAAGATGATTAGAACTGAAGAGAAAATTTTTATTCCCAACAGAAGAGTCACAAACATATTAAAATGTGCGATGTTGTTTTAAATATTTTTATTTATTAATAATCAGTCAAGGATGTAGCATTATTCACCTAGATACAAGATTATATAAAAATTAGAAGAATTTCTTGAAATTGACAAGGGACGAACGTGCTCTAGCCTTCCTTCCTTGATAGTTTCGTTTCCGTCCCCTCATTGACTTCCTTTTTAACTTTTTACAAGTCATCATCATTCTCTGATGAAGGTCGTCGACGATCTCCTTAAAAAACACATTTTTTGGCAACTATTTGCCATCAGAGTAGCTTTATTATATGAAACTAGTAATAATTGTGAATGCTATTTAACTGTAATATGACCCCAAAATACTAATATACCTCTGAATTGCGTCGTCGATATTTCGGACGGTATGCTCTAATGGGTTAACACTTTTACAATAATCGTAATCAAACGTAATAGTAAAATAGCTTTTGACGGACCCTAGGGTCCATCTAATCCATCCTTTGTCTCTATTTATTACCAGTCGCATTGATTTTCTCTCGTATATTGTTGTCTTTACGTTCAGTCTTAATAAGTTCCTCTTATTTTAATCAGTTGACTGCTATATAATTTGCATTTCATGCAAAAATATATATCCGACGCATTAATAATGTGTAAAGTAAAAGAATCATTGCGTATCAGTACAATAGTTCTTAAACTCCGCAGGAATTCATGGTGGTGTTTCCCGTTCGAAGCGATGGAGTCACTATCTGTGCACCTGATGTGGGTGGCTGCTGCGACCTACTGCGCTATGCTGGCGCCCAAGAGTCTGTTAGCCACACTCATCGGCGTACTGGGCATGGCGCACTTCAGTCTTGGTAATTGTCAATGTACCATCAACGTATTCTACGCCGACTTAAATTCGAAAACATTTTAGTTGCCCGTGTTATATTTTGTCAATGCTGGCTTTAGAAGAGTACCAGTATTTTAGTTATATTTTTTTATACTAGCTGTGTCCGCGATTCATCTGCGATTTCAGTTGTATTTTTTATGCTGGCTGTGTCCGCGACTTCGTCCGCGCGGAAAGTAGCCTATATTACTCCTTATACATAGGCTATCTGCCGGTGAATGTCCCGTTACAATCGACCCAGCCATTTCAGAGATTATCCATAACAAACAGACAGAAAAAAAGTGAAAAAAAAAAAAATTTTGGTATATATATATATATATACATCATAAACATTTAGTAAAAAGCGGTTTTCCTAAATTACAAACAGGCACTCCAATTTTATTTATTGTATAGATGATGCGTGTTGTCAACGGTTACGTATTCTGTTACATTCTCTAAGGTGGTAAATAGTATTTCTACCATTACGTTGCCAGATATGATTAATTATATTTTTAATGAATTCCATCCCATCTTAGAGTGCCAGGGACAAAGTGGATTTTTGATAATTTTCCGTTAAGAATATTATCCGGGAACGGGACAAAAATGAAGTAACGACTCTTTATTCAGGTTCATACAAACTGTACTTGTATCTCCAGTTTCATAATGTTTATTCAGTCATCATTTAAATAAATTATAAATAATGAGCTTACTGAAGATGATAACTAAATGAAGATAAACATATAAACTAAGTGAAGTTTAGTGAGGAAGTGATTCGAATAGCTTTGTTCATATTATTGAATTATAATAATTCAAGACTTTTTTCACATACACCTAAATACTAAGTAAACTTTGAAACATCCACAGCTACGTGAGGTTACTACGTTGTTAACAAATTGACAATGAAACTGATATTTAAATAAAATTATATTTTAAATGATAAGCAACTAACGAAACTACATCACAATGTAAACATTCATAAATCAGCAATGAGATACACAATTTATTAACATTACGATTACAAGATGTATTTATTGTAATCTGATTCATACGCCTTTGATAACTACGCAAGTAGTGACTGACGTCACAATTTCCAGAAAATATCATTTTAATTTCGCACGAAACATTACATTTAACTGCATTTAGTGTATGTATATTGTCTTCGATGTAAATGAACATAGAACAAGAAGCCAGATATGATAAAATCTCTGAAAGATATGCAGCTACTAAATCTATACTAATAATAAAGCTGGAGTTTGTTTGTTTGGTTGAACTCTATAATCTCAGGAACTAGGTACTGGAACGAATTGAATTTTCCGTGTTGAATAGTTTATTTGTCGTGGTAGGCTAAAGGCTATATTAAATCTCGCTGTGAGTTATAGGAGTGGAGCAGCAATGAACAATGTTGCAGAAATATGAGAATATAATAGCGTTTTTAAAGCTATCTGTGTAACTGCGTAAACAGTGAAAGTTACGCAAAAATCATGTAGGTATTACGAAATGCATCCCTTCTAAAAGTTCTAAAAAAAGTATGCGCCAGCAAATGTCTTTCTTATATCTTATCCGGAAAAGATTCACATAAAGGGAAGTTCGTACAGGGCATTAAATCGTTACCATAGAAACCATTGTTTATAATTCAATTTGTCATTGTAATTATATTCCATGTCATCCTTTTACAAATACATTAATAAATGGTTTACGCAGGATTAAATAATGTTTTGAATAATATATGTAAATCGGTACAATCGTTGTCGCTAATATTAAATGCATATATGTCATGTTGGTTAAGTACTGTACTATTAAAACGGGATTTTGACTTTTGTTATGTAGCTTTTATTTTTTTTTCGATTTTTTTGAAACAAAATAGTTTAGGTTTTCAATTTTGTGGTTTTCCCAATAACATAATTTAATCGGGAAATGTTAACCGAGCGAAAACACAAAATTAAACGATCAGCTGTTTCCGCCCAGATCGACACCGTTGAATTCTTAAAATGAGGTTTTGATTTTTTTATGTTTGTTGTCTTTATTGTTTTTACGATTTTTATTAGAGAAATCCACTTTCATTTTCAATTTTTCGATTCTATGGTCAAAATGGAACCCTTATAGTTTCGTCACGTCCGTGTTTAGCTCAAAAACAATTTGTATTAGGTGTTATTTAGCATGAGTATACACTTTGATCATGCCGACAAAGTGGTAAAATCTAAAAATATTTTTTTTTTCGTTTACCTCCCCTTTATGTTAAAATCATTATGAAAAAAAAATTACAGGAAAACCCAAATGTATTTAACTCAAAAATTTCGAACAACTCTTTGAAAACAACAAACAACTCTTTGAAAATTATTTTTGCTTTTTCATTGGATTCTTTGTGCACGAGCCCGACTTGCGCTTGCCGTGTTTTTAAAAAAATACGATTATAATAATAATGGAGAATTATTCATCGGCTGACTCATAATATATGGGTGACTATTAACGAGATACTACTCTACTAGTCTTCCTTATGGCCACTGGACAGAAGCTTATCTAGTCTGGTAGGAATATTACGGTCCGTAGATCACCAAGACGGCCCAGAATGGTTATCCGCCATAATAATCGATGATCGAGCTGCGGTCAGGGAACCAACGTCTATAGATACAGCTGGGCTTCTGATTTTGAAGCACAAAAAGAAAGGAAATACATTTATTGGCCACATAGGTACAATAATATCATCACTACATAGTATAAGACAAAGTCGCTTTCTTTGTCCTTATGTATGCTTAAATCTTTAAAACTACGCAACGGATTTTGATGCGGTTTTTTTTTCATAGATAGGGTGATTCAAAAGGAAGGTTTTTATGTATAATACAAGACGTCGGCATAATCAATAAAGTGTAGATTTCCCTGTTCCGGCACTTGTTATTCTGGAGACAATAAATTTTGATCAACGATAGCTTTTTCTGATCACCAGCGTTTCTTACTTATCGACTTATTGTAATCCATTAGTCATTGATTTGTATCTGAACTTAGGCAGAGGGAGTGGTAGTTTCGGTGGTGGTCTGCTTATTGCCTCGTTCGGCACCAGAGAGGCGTTCCGCTACATGGGTCTGATTGCATTCCTGGGAGGAGTGTTGTATGGCCTGCTTCACTATTTCTGGTTGAGAAATATCAACATGACAGGCATGTCGGATGCTGGCGACCAGGATACGGGTAAGAATAAATAGAACTAACGCATTTATAAAATGATGATAAATTTTCCAATATTTCCAATTCCATACTGATAAAGGTACTTAGTATATACTCTGCGAAAATGCCATCGTTGAAGTGAAATACTCAATCAATAGCGTAGTGATATTTCTAAATCACATTAGACTTTAATTCTCAAAAGTCGAGTGAGGAAAATGGATACAATACACTGGCTGAGCTTTGGTGGCGTTGGTGTCGTATTTCCTTATCGTAACAAGGATATCATTAGTAATAAATAAAAATTTCAAATGTAATAAAAAAATTCACAACTCAAACCAACGACACACAATGATATAAAATTTTATCTTTTATTTTCTGTTAATTGATTGAATTTGCTGGTATTCCTAATGGGGTATATTTGATAATTAATATGGGTGAATAAAAAACTTAGCAAAGGTTAACCTAGTTCTACGGGAGTTATAATAATATTTACACCTAGAAGGTAATAGGTGTGCTTATTCTCTGTATAATATGCATTTGGATTAATATTAAAATAGCAATTTTAGCGTAAATTTATTCTGCCACTAAACCCTGTTTATGAATAGCACTGTTAATGTCTATTTTAAGCTATTGGCGATGGCATATAGTATACATTTGTGGAATACAAAATGTTTCGAATTTTTTGGCACTTAAACCCCATTTTTATTTGCGGTATTCATACCTATTTCGCAGAAAGCGGTGAAGGAGATAAACTAAACAACGAACCGCTTCGAAAGGACGCCGAGACGATGATATCCTTGGAGAGATTGCACATGATCACGAGATTCAATCCTCTGGGTTCTCTGCACTCCCTGCCAAGAGGTTCACGCTCGAGGGTGAGTTGACTGTATTCATAGTTGACCTAAAAATGGCGTGGCCACTCTTCAACTTGGGTAAAGAAAGGGCGTTATTAATATTTGTAATTGTTATTAGTGTGTTCACCGATGTTGGAAATGTTTTGATGCGTATTAGCAAATATTATATTAATTGTTTCCATTTGATTAGTATACTTAGTTTTTTTATTGATAATTTTGTTATTGTTTATTACAGTTCTCTCAGGGTGACATCAACGAGCCCCGTAGCCGCAGCGGCAGCAACTGCCACAGGCGCGGCAGCAACTACGAGGGCTCCGCCTCCAAGGTAGACCTTCTCAAGTCAGCGCTCGAGATCAGCCACCAGAACACCAAAGGACACATCTCCAACCCCGTCCTATCATTCTCCACGAGACCTGTTAATCATTATAAGGTAACTGCATTCATCATCTGTCCCTTAGCCGGCCATTAGACGTTCAATCTGGATTGTGATCAGAGCAAAGTTACAGATTAATGACAAAATTCAAATTATTTGAATGTATATATAATATGTATATATAAATATGACATCAATCTGATCAAGGTCAGGGTAATCCGATTCCATGTTGATCGTTTATGGCCCGATTAATGTCCTTATTGCTGGGGCACAGGCCTTCCTTGTTGTCTGGGTAAAATAAATCCAGCACGCAGGTTCAGTATGTACACATTAAGCTGTTAGATTAATGTGTCTTTCTAAGTTTTCAGGTGTTAGTCATAAATTTCGTTTACCTATTTGAGCGCCAGCTTTTGCGAAAGTTGTTTTTTAGTAGTTTCAGACCGTGTGCACTAACCATTACATGCAACGAGCTATGTAGTAAAGTTGGGTGCAAACAAATTTATGACATTAAAAAGAGGAAAGACTTGATTGTTTGCATTGATTAGCGTCCGTAACGCCGCATATCAAAGTAGAAGTAAGACGTCAATAAACACGTAGCTACGTTAAGATACCCATACTGTAGCTGGAGGCTAAAATACTGGGTGATCATCGGAAACTTGAACTGCCAGCTTAATACATTCGTCATTCTTAAAAATAATAAATTCTGACTAATATTTTTTTAATTAAAAAAATATATAAAATCTGATATCGTAGCAGACTCTAACGTCCCTCGTTTAAAAAATATATCAAAGACATTTCATTATTTTGACTAAACATCTTGAATATTTATATTGATTTAATAAACAAACAATATAAACGTTATTTGTACAGTTACATTTTATTTAATTATTATTTAAATGAGTTACATATTATCTGAAGATTATGACGTACCGGTAGAAATTTACGATGTAGTTTATAAATGACTTTGGTAGCTTAAATGTTAATACATGAACATTGAACGATGATTCTTCAATAGTAAAAAAATTCCATTACACGGTGAAACCATATTTTCGCAAATAAAGATTATTATTATTATAAAGTAAACTTAAGAATGCGTTAGATAATTTTTTAGGGTTCCATACCTCGAACGGAAAAAACGGAACTCTTATAGGATCACTTTGTTGTCCGTCCGTCTGTCAAGACCCTATTTTCTCAGGAACGTGGAGGTCAACCTAAAACTTATATCAAATACTGAAGTCTACTGTCCCTTGGAGTTGTGAAAAAAGAAATCAAACTTCTAAGCAAACGCCATCGAAAGGTACAGCCGTTTATGTTGCAAATATTTGGAACTCGCAAGGGATTCAAAACATACAGGGTACCTCTTGAGAACTCAGATTCTTGAAATTAAGTAGATTAAGAAAAAAATGCGAAAACTGTAAATTTTTAGTTACAATATATGATGATAATATTTTTATTAAATACCTACAGGTTTGAAATGAACCCTCGGTTATTAATATACTAGATAAGGTCAGACTTTCTCAGTTTTTTTGGCGTCAGCTTGCTTTTAGAAAACCTTTACGGAACTCGAAAAAAACACACAACCGGCAACATTGCCCGCCTAAAGCTAATCGACAGGGAAACGTGAAACGTGTCGACTTATTTTGGTCGAATAATTGTTTAAACTTAGTACAAAAGTTAATCCTTGTCTTGTAATAAGACGGAGCCAGTTTACTTTGGCTCCATGGTGCAGTGGTTAGCCTGCTCGGTCTGCTAAGCAACTTCCGCAATGGTCATAGGATGGGTTACCAAAAATGTATTATTTGGAGTTCCATCGTACTTCGGAAGACATTGGTCCCAGCTGTAACTGCAATCGTTAATACCCACCAATATGCACTGGGCCTAGGGTTGCCAGATTGTCGGGATTCGTCTGGATTGTCCAGACATTTCGTATGATGTCCAGAGGCTCGAAAATTTTTATTTATTATAATTGAAAAAAAAAAAAACAGACAAAACAAACATGTTCGATTCTGTAAAATCAAATAGGTATATTAGCTGTTTCAATGTTATACTATTATAATGTGATCTTATAAATTGACAAAAAAGTAGATACTTGTTCTTATTTTAAAATTTAACTACTAAAAAATGGATTTTTTATTTAGTATTTTTTGTCCCGACTCTCCCGAATTCCAACTTTTTCCAATTTTGTCCAGATATTTTAGTCTTGCTATCTGGCAACCCTAATTGGGGCCGCGTAGTGAGTCATGGTTCATTCTCTGTATTCGATTCGATTCATTCATTCATTCCATCCATAGGGAAAGCTTGAGCCCTAGCAGTGGGCACATTATTAGGTTGGTTTCAGTTTACTTAACTCTGATCATTTGATAAAACATGATCAGGACTTTCAACATATGCTTTGCAAAGCTCCAGGGTGAATACATATCGGGTAGTATAGTTGACTTAAATAAAAAGGGATTATATTTTCGATAATCCCTTTTTATAAATATAATTTCACAGTTTAAAATAAATATGAGGTCATAAAATAGAAATTTTTAAAAACCCGACATTATGTATAATGTATAATGGAAACAATAGATAATATAGATTACTTTGTTATTTGATATCAATTTCTTTGTTCATATTCTGAGGCACATTACGCTATGTGCATACTGGTGACTATTTGTGTTTCTGCTCTCATTGTCACGTGTTCAAGTGCGTGCGCCACCCCTTAAATTCTCAAATCGATTCTTAACACGGTGACATGACACGGGGAGGAGATAGAGAGTCACCGACGCGCGAGTAGCCATTTTCTTTGTTGAATTATTATGTTGTGTTTTTAGGTATCTCTAGAACCTTTGTTTGAATGGGGTTTATGAGAATTTTGCCTTAAATTATTTTTATTTTAGTCTTATTATAATACTAGTTCTGCCCGCCGATTCATCCGCGAGGATCACATGATTTTGTAGCCGCTATACACTCATTAAAATAAAAATCTAACAATTTGAAATACGGGTTTTTCAGCAAGCGCAAAGTGCACCAAAGCTAATGCTACTGGGTCTCGCTCAGCGGAACAACATATCCCAACCAGCACTCTCAGAGTTCGATCCAAGAAGGCGGGACTCGATACCGGAAGAGGCCGAGGAGGATCGACTGGCGGTACAAACCAAAATACCGTCGAAAACTAAGAGCGACAACTTACCGCCACCGCCGACCTATGCGGAGGCGATCAGTGAAAACAGAAAAAGTTGGCATTCAGATGATAGCACGCCTACCTAGTATAAACTAACACTTAGATTACTATTATAGGAAATCTAACCTAACCTAACCTAACCGTTATATACGTAAGAGTTGTAATAAGGTTTGAAGAGGTGCGATTAAGCTTTGCGCGAATCGATGCGGCGATTTCTCGATTTTATCTTTCTTCTCTCTCTTTACAAAGATTAAAATAAAACATTAAATTATACATATATAAGTTTCATAACAATTCCCATAATTTGCTTGGGAATAAAAAGCAGCTATATTCTTAGATAACACCTTCGATTGTTATTTCGGTTAAATTGCATTATACCAGCTGAATTAGCAGCTTATACACTTGATTGTTGTTATAGTTCAGCTGAATTTTACTAATGAATTATCATGTCAACTGAATCCGGTATAAATATAATATTCTAGTTACTTTATTCTACTCGCTTGCATCGGTATGTGTACTTGGCTTTATATCGAAGAATGTTTAGAAAACAGCTGTATTTAATGACGTATTGTTATTATAACTCGATAAAAAGACTTTACAACTGCCTAATGTATTCTAATATAAGTACTTGTTTATTTAATTAATACATTATTTCAGTTTTATTACGACTTCATTCGTATTTTCAGAAAATCTGACAGGTCTTTGCAGACTTTAATAAATCATAAATAAGAATTTAAAGGTAAAAAATTGTAAAACAACAGTGAAATATATAAACGGTATTATTTCATTAATATTATAATTTTTGTGTGACTTTTGAATTCATTTATTGAATTATATTATTTACAATGAATTGCGTTATATTAGTCATATTATATTTACATTTATTAAAGTAGTGCTTGAAGTCATTATTGAAAAAAAAAATGGTAACATAGATATTAGTTTGCAGGTTAAGTAAAAATCAAAGAGGCTTTAATTTATTTAAGTTGTAGGTAATTAATGCTCCTTAACTCTGATAATTCGGCTATGTTTCTATACCTTGGTAATTAAACGATTTTTTTGTTATTATTATAATAATATGTGGTTTTATTTTCATAAAATCTTTTAAATGGCAGTTATGTCGTTTTATGATTAATAGATGATTGGAATTTTATTTGATATAAGTATACATATAATAAGTATTAGGTAGTTTTCTTCGCTCCCGTGTCTTATCTGCTGTATTGTGTTAGAGAAACAGCGTCTAACTCGCTGTCAAACACAGTGCTGTCACAGCATGAAGGTTCAATCAAATAAAACCTATCTCAAACGGTAATAAAAGTGTTATTTTATAACATTTATAATAGCTATTCTATAAAAAGAGCTGTTTGTGATTGCGGTCTCCATATTTCAGGTTAGTCTATAGAGAATATCCATAGCGGAAAGTCAGAAGCGACAAAATATAAGTATCAAATATACCGGCTTTTTAGCCGCGTGGCCCCGCATAGGTCTTTCTCCTTCCTTCCCCTTCAATCAGTCTGTACGAGTTGATGAAATCCGAATTAAAATAAGTTTTTTTTTCAGTTGTGAAGTTTAAAAGATGAGATAAAGACAGCGGGAAGCGTCTTTTATATTAAGTATAGATGATAATTGACCGTGTACACTCGACGAATTCATCACGCACCTACTAACGCGTACTTCCGTGCACGCTTGAATTCAAGTCGGTGCTAAGGCTTGAATTCGGGATCAATACATAGCTTTTTATGAATTTTTCACGATTATCGATAATTTAAATACCTACTTAAAGATTACTCATAGTATTTTATTTATTTTATTTTTATATATATGTATATAATTGATAAATTATATATAATTCCAAATTTTATGTCTATGTCCCCCGCGTATTATGTAGCTTTCCTTAGATTATAACATTTTATAAGCGGTCCAATAGTTTCTTAGCCTTTTCGATGCAAACAAACACGCAATAAAATCTTTTCTCTATATAATATGAGTATAGATTATTGTAAAAACATTGTCGAGCAAATAAATAAAATCTTTCCTAAGATGTTGATATATTTAATATTTATAAAGAGCATGAAAAGTGACAAATAATACATATCTTAAAAGCGAATTCGATTCGAGCGATTCACAAAACTGCTATTATAGTATTATATTATATTAAATATGCTAGTCGGCTGGAGATTTTCTGTAGGTTATTATTAATAAAGTGATAGCTGTTCGAGCATTTGCGTGAATAAGTCGCTTTTAAGATAAATATTATTTGTATCTTTTAAAAAGTTTGAAGTCTGTCATATTTTTTGAGAAAAGAATATAGTTATTTTGTTATTATAGTAACAAGAACTGTGTCTTAAAAACTTGTATAATAAAACTTTAGGAGAATTAACCTTCAAATGACAATAAATAAGTGGTGTTTCTGTAGTCAATTTGGACCTTTTTATACACTGACATATTTTTGTGTGATGGATTACAAAAATATTAATTACTCAGAGTGTATTTAGAACTATCGATTTATTGATAAACGTAAATATCGTATTGCTATTATATCACATTGTTGCTCGTAGTTGCAGCAGCGCAGTCATCTTGATTCGTCTTCATAAAGAATTTTCTGCTGATATTGTTTTTGGTGGCGGCTGCATATGCTTTATTTAAGACGTCACTTGAAGGCCGCTGTTCTCTCGTCAATATCCAAGAAGTAACTGTAATAAAACAATAATACCAAATAAATCGTTTATCCAACACAACAATAACGAAGGAGGTCCTATTTTAATTTACAAATTTGTCCCGTAGGAGAGGAGACCGAGGTGTTAGTTGGCTGTGTTGCACAGGTTCATTCGGAAATTGAATTATCATTTTAGGTAGAAAAAAAAACAAATCATAGCTTCAAGATAAGAAATATACTCATATTGAATAATCTAGAAGTTACCGGTGTGTAGAATGCGGAAGTCGTTGCAGCTCCAAACGAGCGCATAGCTGGTGTAGTCTGTATCCACGACCCAGTAGGGAGCGGCGAAATTACCAGGTACTGATGGGAAGCGCACCGCCAGTTTGGCTACTGACGGATCTGACAGCGTTGCAGTTCCATTTATGCCTGACTGCTTACCAGTGCTGTAAAAGATGCGATGTATCATATTCATATACCGACTTTTTAATTGAATCTGACAACTTTACAATACCACTTATATATGACTGTTTGTTAGTGCTATGAAAGGTGAAATATACCAAGATTTTATTGCAATCTGACAGCGCTGCAGTTCCTCTTATGTCTGACCAGTGTTCGAAAATGTGCTATGTTAAATATAAATCATCATCAATCAACATGTTTAATATCCACCACCACCACCAGCTCTTTTACGTCCCCACTGCAGGGGCTCAGGCCTTCCTTATGGATGGTTAAGGAGGATGGGCCATGACCCTCCACGCTGGCCCAATGTGGATTGAAGGGTATTGACGACTGCAAATGCAGCCGGGACCAACGGCTTAACGTGCCTTCCGAAGCACGGAGTAGCTCGAGATAATAATTTTTTGGTCACCCATCCCGTGACCGACCCTTGCGAAAGTTGCTTAACGACTACGATCGCGGGCCGCGGCGCTTATCCACTAAGCCACCGAGCTACTCCGAGCTACTGCATGTTTAATATACAAAGGTTTTATTGCAATCTGACAATATCGTATTGCTTACTAGATAAATAAATAATTATATTATTACTTTCCACAGAAAGACCGTGCTCGTTATTTTAATACTGTGAAAGATTATTCAAACGAGTTTGGAATTCATCAGTGCGATAAGATTGTAAATTTATCATGTACTTTCTAAATTAATTTATATCAGATGAGTTTTTAATTGAACTCAGTGGTAAGCCGCTAACTATTTTCTTTAAATTGTAATCGAAGCTACATAAAACTGCCAGTTTGTTTGTTTGTTGTTTTACGATAGAAACATAATGAAATTTTTTGTGTACAAACCAATGCCAAAAAAGTTTTTATTTTATATTTTTAATTCTAAAATATTATATTTATAATAACATTTTATAACAAAAATTTTCTTATCATTGGGCCAGCGTGGAGGGTCATGGCCCATCCTCCTTAACCATCCATAAGGAAGGCCTGAGCCCCTGCAGTGGGGACGTAAAAAGGGCTGGTGATGATGAATGAGGAAGTATTTAAAAAAAACATTAGTTCCCGAAATCAAACTAAATGTCACTACGGTACGTTCTTGATTTCTCTATGACAACCCTTCCGGTTTTCTTTCATGTGTAATAGTTAATTAATTTTCAAAGCTCAATAACCAGCTCATATTCTATTTTGTACTTTTAAGTATTTGTATCGATATCGAAGTTTTGAACTTATTAAAACTTTTAGTTTTTTAATATGTTAGTTAAAAGGAACGGAAATGACTATCTTTGGTCCATTATTTTCCTGCAAAAAAAAACTTTTCGTAGAGTTGCCTTCTAGTGAGATGACGTGCGCAAAACAAAATACTATATCCCACAAATTTTGGGCCAAGATTATTTTCCCAAATGTGTATCTGCTTTCTATAAGTTATAGAACTCAACATATATAGCGTGTGGATAATGCCAGGGACAAATCGGAAGCATTTTTCATTAAAAGGAACTTTTCATAACACTCTATGACAAAAGAAAGCCCTTTTATTCCATGATCATTAAGATAAGGCAAGCGGGCAACGTAGCTACTTAAAAATATTCTGGAACAACGAAAACATTAGTTAAAGGTAATTACTTTAGAAACTGTCATAATTTAGGTAAATATTTTTACCAAATAAACTAGAAATTTCAATGAATTGAGAACTTTTTTATTTGACAAATGTTATTATACTGTAAAAGATTACACTGATTGACAAAAATGACCTTAATGAAAGCTAAATTAATTTGAATGGGATATTTTGTATCTACAATTAGCCTGTTAATAATCTGCATTTTTAAAAAGTTTCAGTCACCCTCAGTTTTCTTGCAATTGCAATACACTTTTTTTTAAGTAAATATCGTTGAAAATTGAATTTAATCAAGAAAAACAACTAACATTTGACTTTTATTCAGGATTTTCGGGAATATTTAGCGTCAGGTACATCTCTTTTGAGTGTCCAGCAGTAATCAGCCAACATGTTCGGACTCCACTTGTCTTGGTACCGTTTTTCCATGTTGGATATATCTTGATGGAATCAAATGGAAGCCAAGAGTTCTGCCTATCTTTTACTGAGATCCAAATCACGTACAAGGTCATTGAGATCGTTTTGATTTGCAAAATGAGGTGCCGTATTTGAAGTGCTGGGCTCAAAAGTCGGATCGGAATCGGAATTCTCAGATACATTTCCTTCATCAACCACGTCATCCGTGTTTACTGGAGGCTGAGCAACAGGCAGATCATCACTGTGTAGGATAGGTCTTTGAGCAGATTGTAAATTCGGATAGTTCACGGTGTGTCTAGATTTGTGATTAATACCTTTGATAGAAGTTTGGCAGAAATAACAATCTGATACATGGTCTTTCTGTTCAGACCATATCATTGGAACTGCAAACGGCATATGACGAGATCCTTTAGCCCATGATGTTAATAATCTAACACATTGTGCACAACAAACACTAGGAGTCCAGGTTTTGTCCAAATTTCGCACCGGAAAGCCAAAATAATTAAAATAACAGTTTTTAACTAATGGTGTCAAATTACGACGTTGACTTTTAATAGTAAGTTGACCGCAAATGTAACAAAAGTTATCAGGATGGTTTACACACACTCTGGGTCTTATTACGATGTACAGAAACGACAATCACAAAAAAAAACCGTTTTAATTTCAATAATTCAATATTAATTTATCGAAAACATACGTCGGTAAGCAAAATTCGCGTAATCAATTTAGTTTATGTTTAACGAAAACTGAGGGTGATTGAACAAAACTAAGTATGAGGTTTATATGCGGGTAGGTAGTAGTGTTTAAAAAACCGACTCGATTTTATTTAAAAAAATACTGTTTACCAGTGTTATCTAAATGACTTACAGCCAGTTGCACAAACTTCCATTAAAATTGTCATGGTTTAAAGCGACATTATCCATACAAAAGTGACATTCATTAGAGCTTAAAGGTATCATTAAACCTTAATGGACGTTAGTGCAACTGCCCGATAACATTATAATATTATCTGTATGCTAATTAAAAACCAATTCACGCTTATAATTGTCATTTTTTTACTTGATTTAATTTTGCATTTTTTATGAATTCATGACATAATTTTATCTAATTTGACTTTCTATGTAATATTTGTACGCCGAACTAGGCAGATTTTTGTTGGGATTTGACTTGGCTTTAACACCTTTGCATATGTTTTAGTCCCAAAAATTTGAAAAATAAATGAATTTGAATATGAACTGTTAATACCTACTTAGAATACTATTATTATTAGCTATTTATAATTTTAATTCTTAAAAATTCTGGTCTTTTGCTTAAGTTATAACATTTTCGCATGTAATTACTCCTCTCGACTATAGTATACTCTCGACAAGCATTACCTACTCTCCAAATACATTCGGGTAAAAATAGGCAAAATTTTTTATTCTATGTACTTTGTGAAATTACACAGGGGAGTGCAATTGCACCTCGATGCAGCCCGCTGTCGGCGCCCATGTTGATGCTAACATGTTTCACTATAGTTGGGTGTTACTGTAGTAAGAAAGCAATGTCTTTGAATTAACGGGGTGTACTCACATGGTATTGTAATTGGAATTGTAAACGCCAACAGTGCCGTTGCCTAGGTCTGTGTATGTGGCGGTGACGCACTTGCCGCCCAGCTCGAAGATGAAGAAGTACCTCTCCGCTTCATACCATTTGCCCAAATACTGTAACGTTATTAATAAACCATACACTAAACATATTAAAAAAAATAAAAATTTATTAAGATTCGCTGGAAAATAAAAATATTGCATTAAGAATACAATTAATTGATTTTTATCGTAATCTGATCAACGAACCCGTTTAAAAATTAAGTAGTCCGACATATTGGATATAAAGTGACGTAAAGTGAAGTGAAAACTCATCGTTATCCATTACAAACTCATACTTTTTCTCTCTTAAAATTCAGTTATCACATGTGAAATGTCTTGTGAAAAAGGAGCTTTGGATAAAATATTTTCGAAAAATAACGGATCAAAAACATTAAATGAAAGTGGTTATGTTAAATTAACGTAATATCACAAACATTACTGTAATTAAAATAATAAATACGTTTAAAAATGCTTAAAAAAAATCTCTAGTCCCAGGTACAGTTGGGATGCGAACCGATGACTTTCCGTAATCCGGATATAGCATTTAGCATGCAAATATAATATAAATTAAAAATAAATCTAGAGTTGTTTTCTTTGTCATAGTTTTTGTCTTAGAGGCGTCCGGAGAGCTTTCGAGTTGAGTTTTGCATACTGTCCAGTACCCTTACTACGCTTCAATCGCTTCGTTGAATGCGTTTGTAATCAATTAAATATGAAGGGAAGCGAAACACCCCGCAATCGAGGCAATGTTCGATGACGTTATAAATAATATTTTCTTTTATTGTTTCACTTTTTATTATTTGATTAGCTTTCCCGTAACTTTGTCCTTGTAAATTATTACAAATGTCACCCACGTCCTATGTAGGTGAGACAATTTTCATGAACGGTTCAATATTTCCAAATAACCGAAGACAGCCATGACCTCTTTATAATATTAATTACAATGGGGATGATAAATATTACGTATACACCGGCACCGGTTACATACCTCGGAGGGTCGGAAGTCGGTCACCACCTCAACATTGGGACATCCTCCCGGTAGAAACACTTGAGCCGCCACCAGTCTCCATGACAATATAAATCCGCACAGAAACACCACAATTTCTTGAAGCAGCGACATCTAGGCAATATTTCTAGAAATATAAAATTAACATATACTGACTATATATTTTATGATCTAAACGTTTAGATCTATATTAATCACATCCTTTAAAATTAGAGTGAATTAAGGTAGAAAATCTTAAAAAAACATAGAAATGACTTCAAGCTTTTAAAAAAATGATAAATAATATTCACCTAAAAAGCTTTTATAGGTTATTCATTAAATTATAGGCGCCCGTTTTCAATTGTATTTTCTTGAATAAGTAGCTTTTGAGATATCGAAGTACTATTTATCGTTTTTTAAAGCTTGAAGTCGTTTAAATTGTTTTTTTAATTTTTGTTTCATGTTTTTACTGATATAAATATTTTTGTATATAACAAGTGAGACTAAAATATAAAATATCTATTTAAATAGAAATACTCAACATAGTGAAAATGTTAGAAGAGAAGATTTTGTTTATTTGCTCTACATATATTTTTCCAATGACTCTATACTAACATTATAAACAGGAAAAATTTGATTGCTTGTTTATTTGCATTGGGATAGGCTCCGAAACTATTGGACCGATTTATGAAAGTCTTCATCTATGGAAAAGTAATTAATACGCTTTGGACATAGACTATGATTCATGCAGGCTAAGTCGCCAGGGTTTAGGGCTAGTTTGATAGGAATTGGTTCACAATTCAAGAAGAAATCGACGAACATTCTACATTCATATTCTACTTTATACTTTCATAAAAAATAAACATAAGTACTCCTTGAACATAGAAAATTCATCTTTCGGATTCTAAATGAATTTGAAATACACAATCTTTCGTTTTTAGCTGCAAAGGGCCATGTCTTAGCATATCAACTAAATATTTGGGTGATATTTGGTGAAAAGCGTATTTTGTTTTGTTAAAAAAGGAAAACTACTGAATCGATATCAATAAAATTTGAATGTTGACCACCTCGGTCCATAAGCTGTCGAATGAAAAAAGAATCTTGAAAATCGGTCAACAATTACCGAAAATATCGTTGAACATACATAAAAATATACATCGCCGTTGAATATATAACCTCCTCCTTTTGAGTTTTAAAGTCGGTTAAAAAGGATTGGAATAACGTACTTGAGAAAATTTTGTTAAATAGATTCTGAATAGAATGTTGATTGTTTATTAAGTACTTACGTACATAACTAGGCAAACAAAAAGTATAAAGCTGTTGTTGCCAGATGCTGTCTTTTTTTAATATTTTTTGTAGAATGTAGAATTTTTTAACAGACCAAAGATATTTACCAAAATGAGTGTGATATCAAAAAGCACGATATTCTTCAAGTGACTCAAACTGAACTGAATAGTTCTTCACTATATAGTTGTATATTTATCTAGTACATCAAAGACAAACAAGATTATAACAAAATCAGTTTAAATATTGTCACAAACATGTGTCACTGCGATAAAAAATCAAGAGAAGGTGACCCAAATAGTTGTAGGCAAAATATAAATGTGTAGTTTATAAGTAATGGATATTGCTATCAAAATTTTAACCACCAAACACAAGTATACCTACATATGTGTACAATAAACACACACTTACGAAAGATCCAAGTGTTTAAAAGCTCGCATTAAAACGAACGGTAATTTCTTTTATTCAAAAACTCCACAGTTTATTTATAATACATTTTATAAATGCACGATACTAAAATAAGCTAATTACAGAGTTCCAATACTTATAAAGATAGCTAACTTGTTTTTGAGAATAACTTAAGTCATGCCCATGCAAGAGAATAGATTCACTCATTTGATACTTCAACATCTATGAGTTAATATAAAAAAAAATACATAAATAAAGATAAGTTTTTTGAAATTTGTGAAGTTATGGTTCTTAATGAAAAATGCTTAAGAACTCACCTTGTCCCTGACATTGTGCTCTATGGATATCGATGGAACTAGAGTCCCATCTCAAAGTGCTCTAATATAATAAGCTAAGGTTCATTCAATACCGCGTCATATATAAGATAGAAATATATTTTTATTTTAATTAGTAGGATTATAAATTGTTGCTGTAGTTGAACATATTGCCTAAGAAAAATACAGCTTCGAGCGCAACTTCGAACACAGCACTGTCGTAGTATTAGATAGAGATTGAATCAAATGAAATCTTTATCTAAATGTTTAATTTTCTTCAACTTTTAATGCTGCATCATATAAAACAGCGCTGTATTCTAAGCATGTTAGGACTGCTAATGTGTTGTGGTGTGTAGGTAATAAACTTAACTATAAGGTACGCACACCACACTTACTTCAATACAACACAAATCTGCAACATGTATGGCAATAAATATATTCAATCTTTTCTATATATTTAAGCGTAAGAAACTTATAAAATAATCTAATTTAATTAAGCTTCTTTGAAAAATAACAATCTAATGCTTTAAAATTACACCTATTAAAGCCAGCCCTGCGATTTTGTAAAAATAGAAACCCGAATTTGAATTCACTCATGTCATTGATTCCATTTTTATATAAAAATACAAAACAGTATAACAAAACAGTAAAATTGTAGTTCGATGTTCGTTAGTACGCTTTTATTTGGGATCGCGAAAAAAGTTCATGCTCCCCCCCCCTTTCAGCCCTATAATGCATGCTTTCTTTGAGTTACCCATTGCAAATAAAAAAACTGGCGTGTACAAATTTAGATTTAAAAAAGTTAGATACAACAAATTAGATAAAACAAGCCTTGTTATTATAGTAGTCATAAAATGCTTTTCAAAACTAAGAATAATTAAATAAGTATAACATATCGCTAGAATAAAACTTGTTCTAATAAAAAGATGAACTTCCCACAACATTGCCTTAAACTTCTAATATATCTATTGTATTAATTTAATGGTTTTATATTATCTACTTCTTACCTTTAATTAATTAAACACAGTTTTTTGACTTCTTAGTATATAATCAATTATTTATAAAAAAAACGCGTAATCACTATCGCCAAAGACTAGAAACTAATCGCTAGTACACAATAACACTAAAAATATATTTGAATATAATTTGAAAACTAATCGTCTACGCTACGGCCACGACCTTCCATCGAATGAAGCAAAGAATGGAGGCCGGTTTTAACGAACTCATAAGACCTTACTACACTAGGCGTATATTACACACACAGACACATTACAACAAAAGTTTGTTCCTATCATTTATATAATGTATCATTGAAATCAATACTTGTCGATGAACCGCATATTTTTTAAATAAGTATATTCTTTCCGCATATATTCTTATTTATATAATTTTTAAGAAAATACAATTTATTTACATCGTATACAATGATAAGTACATATAACAGAAATTCACAAACTTTTTAAGCTACTTTAAGCACCTTTTTTACATAACTACATTTTATTTCAAAATGATAGAAAAGTTAGCCGACCGATTTAGCCAAAAAAATATTTAAAATGAGGAAGTAATAGAAAAAACGAAAATAATAAAAAAACAACTCTACTAGATGGCGACTTTAGCAAAAGTTGATTTTTACTGGAAATAATGGACCAAAGACTGTCATTTCCGTTCCTTTTAACTAACATATTAGAAAATTGAAATTTGAAAAGTTCGAAACTTATCTATCAATACAAATACGAAAAAGTACAAATAGAATATGAGTTGTTTATTGAGTTTTGAAAACTAATTTACTTTTAAACTCGAAAGAAAACCGGAAAGGTTGTAATGGTGAAATCAAGAACGTACAGTAGCGACATCTAGTTTGATTTCAGGAACTAATGTTTTTTTTTAATACTTCCTCATTAAAATAAAAACGTTATGTGACAAAGACCCATCTGTGTAATCATATGGGTAGATAATTATTTTTGTTCTGTTTTGATCCGCGTCACCGCCAATGAAACTGGTATTAGGGTTATCGAATAGTAGAGTATTTGGGCTAGATATTGACAGTAGAAACCTTTTTAATATTTAGGTTTTGTATAAAATGCACAAACATGTGAAAAGCCAAAGAAATATGTTGTGAATAACCTATTTCTTATTTACGATACGATATGTTCTGAGATTTATTTGTTTATTTGTGACATAATTAAAACTAAGTGTTATTAGCAAGTTTTCACAAATATTCTTATTTATTTATTTTTTTATTAATTGCATTACATGCGACTGAGAAACCTGAATTGGTAAGTTAAATAAACAAATATTTAACTAATATTCACATGCACCTTGATAGGCATAGGAGGCAGGTAAGTTTATCTTTAACGCATAACAATCCGTTTGTTTGTTATATTATGAAATCTATTTACATTACGAACCGCATGTGTTGTTATGTGCGTTACAGATATTACATTTTAATTTATAAAATCAGTTTTCGCCAGCGGCTTCGCCCGAGCGGTCCTGTATTATAATCACTCTGTATGTTTAATTGTAGAAAAAAAGTTTTCAGCGTCCAGACAGCGGAAAGTGACTTGGTTATATATATTAGCTTATCTACTAACCATTGTACATAATTTTATCCGTTTGTTTGGATACAGAATTTGTATTTTGCAATGCTAAAAATTCATTTAAAATACATTCTTAGATAAATATAGCGTTAATACGTAGCCTTATATAAATGAAAAATTGTTACGCAATCTAATCAGATCTACTTTAAGTTTGTATCTGTAAAAAGGGTCGTTAACAATGAAGAGTTATCAATATCGATTAATCAGTATTTTGGTAATTGAATAATTAAAAAACAAACAAAAGTGAAATTAATATAAAATAAGCCCTGTTTACCCTGTTTCTCAAGAGAATTGAATTGAAAATTAGTTTTGACGTCTCAGTAAAAAATAATACGTAAGATATTTAAAGAGCAATCTTAATATTTAGAGCAGTTATTGAGTTACCCGGATCGCAAAAGCTTATGACTGGTGATTGTTAAGTATTTCCTTTAAAGATACTTATCAATATACCATTGTCAACAATAAAGTTGATCGAATATAATAACAGATAAAAGTTAATGTTAGATTCTTATTATTTTAAACATATATTTTTGATTGAGTAGTTATAACAGTTCAACTTACATTGGAAAAGTTCAAATTCGCGGGAAGTCCGGTAAATTATTGATTTGACTTTTTACTTTTTTCGGTTTGATTTTAGTAAAATAAAAGAAATTAGATTCCCACATTATTAAAT